GCTCCCCATTCCCCCCAATTATGCTCCAGTGAGATCCAGCCTCACAGTCATTTCCTACATGCACCACCTGTTTCCTTTGCCCAAAATGCTCCCCTCCGCAGTGATCCTCTCACTCATTAGGGACCACGTGTGGATTCCCTTCTCTCATCTAGGCAGTGCGCTCATGATTTCTTCCAGGATGGACTGCCAAGTTCCTCCTTTCCTCTTGATTCTAGCACATATCTCACTGCACAAGGATTGGTTTTTAAAGTAGCATGCTTATTTATTTCATTAGTCTGTGAGCCACTACCTTCATCTCTTTTTTTAATTTCTCTCATACCCAGCTCACAGCCTGAGCCATATGAAGTATTTGCATATTTATGGAGTGAGTGGTTGAACCTCTTACCAGACATCAGTGATCACATAAGCAGGATATTTCTTTCTTTGTCTCTTCCATGGCAGCATACATAGAGCTAAATGTTGTGTCCTCTTGCAAAAGCTAACATATTCCCAGTGTTAGGGAACCCAGCATCTCTCAATTTTTAACCCTTCTTCTCTGGACTTTTATTTTTGATTTCCTGCTTTGATTCTGATTCATATTAAAAGCTACATTAATTACTCTTGGAGAAAAGAGGGAAATAGGAAAAAGAAGATATTCTACTCATCAGTTAGTGCCCTATTCAGTATAAGTCTTCATGTTTTCCCAGCCCATGGGAAAGACTTCAATAACTCCATTTACCAGTTGTAGTTATAACAAATTCTCATCTGTGCCCAGCACCTTCTGACTTTCAAATCATTTTCACACCACTATTTCACTGGTCTGGGCATTTTTTATTTGGTCTTATTAGTGAAGAAGGGCCATTTACATGAAATTATTCAGATTTTAATAGCCAACCACTTTCCTGTTGTATTAATTCATCTTGGAAGCCACCTGTACAAACGAGAACAATCTTTTTCAGCATAATACAATTATCTGGATGTTTTAGCAGGTAATGCTGAATATGTGCATCTGATCTTTTCTTATGTTACATGCAGAGAAGTAATATTTGCTTTAAAATGCTAAGTGAATTAATGGGGTTGGTTAATGATTAATCCGTCTTTCCAAGTTACACTCAGCATTCTGTTGGCGTCCACACTGGTTACTCTGATACAACAGGGCTCCACCAAGTTCATTATCCAACTGACTGGTCTGGGACTGCATGATCATTAGCATGCAAATTACCACAATCAAAGGACAGGTAACAATGACTTCCCTTCCTGTGGGTCACACAGTTAGGTGGAAATGAAGCATGTTTTCGTTTAAGGAAATTTATTTTGAGAACATTCAGTCTAACTCATTGAGGAATTAGATTTCGGTGCTTTGAACATCTGGCCATTTTAAACACAGAGTCATAGAATTTTAGCAGTGAACTTTCTAGTACACAATTTAGAGGTAAACCTAAGAAACGTCCTCATTCTCCCTATGTATTGTACATGTTAGGGAATTAAGGGTTGGAGTGGAAGAGAGAGGTGCTGCTTTTGCATCTTGAGCGAAGTGGAAGAGTCATGGGTTGGAGGGAAGATGTGGATTGCGGAGAAGGAGAAGCAGTGACAGTCACTCCATTCTTATGTCTCAAAGTATAACACAAATGCCCACCAACCCTGCTAGGGAGAACTCTAGTTTTCACAATGGTTCCCACCCCAGGCCTTTCTGGGGCAGGGGTCGTGGGTGGGAGGGTCCTCGAGGAAGCTGAATCTGTCACAAACCTGTCTTGATTGCCTCTCGTCACACCGTCGTCCACTTCCCTGCTACCTCCAGTCCAGACTTCCGTCCCGATCAGCACCCATCTCTTCCGGTAACCCTGCTCGATTTCTGTTCTTCTGGCACTGCTGCCAACACCATGGCTGCCATCCAGAGTTAGCCTCAGAGCAGGCCTCTGCTCTCCGCTCTTTCCAAAGGCGGTTCCTGCTCTTCCTTACTACCTGCACGTGGGGCAGAACCCACAAGTAGTTCTAGCTCTTGCTGCAGTAACTGCCGACTTCTCCAGAGACCCACTGTTTCCCTGTGTTGCTAATTCATCTACTACTTGAATTGAAAACCAACTCGCTATCAACTGACAACCAAGCCAAACCAAACCAAAGAGGTGTGTTGGTACCATTTGGCCGGCCTGCCTCCGGGTGCACCCCTCACCACCCACATATTCTAGACCTCACTGGCCTTAAAGCCAGAGCTCGAATTCCTTCCAGCCTCCTGAATGAGGGAGAAGTTCCTTCCTTAGCCAATCCAGAGCCCACCTCAATTCCTGGCTTAAGGTTACCAATTCTCCTAGATGATTGAAAGTGAGACACCCATTCCTTCCTGACCTGCCAAGATGGGGTTTCTCCTCCTGCCCATGTGGTCTCAACAAGGCAATAATGAGAGATGGATAATGGTACATTTCTCTAGGTCTGTGTTTCTCAATTTTATACATTATTAAAAGTAAAACCCCTGGCTACAAAGGAAAATAACTGGTATAAATGTGGGATGATGGCAAAGGCAGGGCTGGGGTCTTCTTATTCCTACATTTCTGTTGTTAAACTCCAACACACTACAACATTGAGGAAAAGAAAATGCTTATGGAAAAACACAGATCCTCGCCCCGTCACTATTTCATCAGCTGAGTCTCTAAAATTGTAACTTAAACAGCATATTTGTATATCAAATCATATTCATGTTTGTATGATACTTAAATGGGAAAATCCCTGACATACCCAATTTTCATTGTGAAGAGCATTCTGCTTTTGTTCCTGGTGCTTAAGTTGTTTACATAAAGCATAAGAATTTGGTCAGTCGCTGGGCGCGGTGGCTCACGCCTGTAATCCCAGCACTTTGGGAGGCCGAGGCGGGTGGATCACGAAGTCAAGAGATCGAGACCATCCTGGTCAACATGGTGAAACCCCGTCTCTA